GCCTCTCACCCGAGCTCCGTGGCTGATTGTGTCTTGGGCAGTGTGGAAGGGAAGAGAGCAGGGACAGCTGTCTGGGTTGGGGAAGGCATGTACCTCAGCCAGCACCTCTTCCCCAGGAGGGTGAGAGCCAGAATGGGGACAGGAGCCCCTCAGTGTGCCACATGGCACACAGTGCTTCCTGGTGACACTGACCTTCAGGCTGCTTGAGGCCCACTGGTCATCCTGAAGCAATGAACACTCTAGCCTTATATTGTGTTTCCTGGGAGGTGGGGAGGTTCTCTGGGGCAGTGGGCCCAACACAGACACTGCTTTACTGGGAGGTATCTGACCTTCCCTGCGGGATCTGAGCAGGGTAGGTGGTGCCCTGGAAACTGGTTCCTCAAACTCAAAGTCATTTGCCCTTCAGATCACACATAGCCACACACACACACACACACACACACACACACACACACACGGCAGTCAGCAGCTTCCAATGCCCCTGATCACCCATTCCTCTTACCTTTACAGGCTGGGAGGTCAGGAGGCAGTGATAGAGACTATCTGCTGATATCCACACCCACTTATTTCAGAGAACAGGCTAACATTCATTTCCCAGCCTCTTTTACAGTTCGATGTGGCCAGTTGTCTAGGTTCTCACCAGTGGAATGTGGACAGAGGCAGATGTGGTACCTTCGGGACTGTGCATGCCTCCCCCGAGCTCTCCTCCCCTTCCTGCTGTCTTGAACTTGGAAAGACCGCACTTCAATCATGCAGGCACGACAGTGGGAATGGTGGGAAATCCCAGTGGAAGGAATCCAGGATGTGTCTGTGCTGAGCTTTCTTGCTAACCTGGAATATTCACCAGGCAGTTACATGAGAGACAAACTTCTATCTTCTGAATCCACTGAACTGTTGCTAGGCCTCTTTGTTATAGCAGTCCAGTCTTACCCTTGCTCAGCACTAGGGAGACGCATGTGGCAGAGAGGAAGGCATCCAGCCCGCCTCGCTGGATGGTCTGCCAATGAACATCACTTGGATTGTACTCCAAGGGGAAGCCCCAGAAGGAAGCAGTGCACAGAATTGGTTCAGACAGACTCAGACTGGCCTAGGTTTTACATTTTGGCTAGAACATCATTAATGTTGTGGATTTGGGGCACTTCCACTGACAAACAGTCTCAATTTCCTCTTCTGTAAAATGGGATAATAACAGTAGCTACTCACAGGGCTATATGAGATAATATTGATGAAAAGCTCAGACATGTCTATTGTTATTAATGGGGCCAGCTGGTATTTATACCTAATGTTTCCTACCCTCTTTCCCCAAGAAGGAGGGAAGGAAACTAATGTCTCGAGTTTTTCACAAAGCTGTAAGTATTCAGTGTCTCTTAAATTACAAATTCCTAAGGCCTGCAAGCACACCTAATATTCTTTAGTCATCTACTATGGACTAGAGACCAGCAGATGGCCAGGGGACAGAGATGCCCTTGTGCAAGTTAATTTTCTGCTTTGCTTCTCAGAAAACAAGCTCATCTGTAAAAGGGGGACATTCCAACAAAATGGGTATGGTCTGCTGCTGCAGTTATCACTCAATTAACAGTAGCTACCACTGTATCATCTCTACTTTTAAGCGAGAAAGTTGATGTTGAGGAGGTTAAGTAATTTGCCCAAGGCCATAACTCATTAATAAGGACCAGTTAGGGAGTCTGGGTCTAGTCTCCAAGTTAGCCTAGCTTTCAGCCCATCACTGAAGGCCTGTGATCAACTCAGAGCCAACTTCTCCAGCTCCCCTTGGTAAGGCCCCCAGGTCTTTGTACCCATGGGTCCCTTGCTGTTTGAATGGCTCTCTTCTTCCTCCACCTAGAAGGCTTCCTCACAGAGCCCCCTGTGACCACCCAAGGCAGGGACACATTGCACACTCTGTGCCCCTCAGCCTTCTCTACAGACCTCCCCACTTCACCACACTGAGACACTCAGAGCGACAGCATCCTTGTCACCTCTGGCTCTGCTATGCCTGTCTGGCACAGAGCACATCTCTGTGAGTGTTTGTTGGATTTGCTGGGAGCTGAAGCCATCACAGAGCCAAGCCAAGAGCGGAGAACAATGCCTGCTGCCAGGGACAGCCTGCCTGCTCTCAGCTGTCAGTGCACTCCACAGTGAGCACACTCACACCTGCCTTGGGCCAGGGCCTCCTTACCACTGGCTGAGACTTCCAGTCCCTTGGCTCCAGCTCTTCCTTTGCTCTCCTGCCTCTCTCCAAAGTCAGCCAGCAGGAGATTGATCTCTAGGGAGACCGGGATCATCCACGGCATGAGTCCAGAAGATTTCTCACTGCCTCATCATTTATTGAACACCGATTATGAGGCAGGCTCCATACTTAGTGCTAGGTACAGAGTGGAGAGCAAACCGGGCAGGTCTCTGGCCTCAGGAGCTAAGATTCTAGTGGGGGGACAGTCAGCCAAGAAGGAAACACACAAATGGACATGCAGTGGCAAGCCCCCAATAAGGGAAGGAATGGGAGCCTGGATAGAGACAAACTAGTGGAGGAGAGTAGTAGGGAGTCCTAGCTGAGGAGGCAACATTAAGCCAAGGCCTAAGTGTCCGAAGAACTCAGCTACACAAAGGGTAGGGGAAGAGCATTCTGGGCAACAGGAACAGCATATGCGAAGTCCTGGAGGTGGGAGTGAGGTTGGAATGCTGAGGAAGAGAGGGCAGACTGTGGTAGAAGCATGGGGAGAGTTTGGAGACTGGCCAAGAAATGAGGCTGGAAGTGGCATTGGGACCAAAAGAGGAAGAACTTGGATTTTATGTTTAGAATAACAAGGTAACAGAGTGAGGGTTTTAACCCAGAGTTAATGCGATCTGATCTGCAGGCTTCAAGGTCTCTTTGGTACTGCTGAGAACCTATTGACAAAGCAAGAGAGAACCTCCGGAGGGCAGGGCGGAGATCTGGGGCAAAGGATGTGGCCAGCCCAGGCTGGCTGTGGGTTCAGACAGAGGGCTTGGGCTCTAGAGATATTTGAGAAATAGAATCTATCAGAGGTGTCCAGAAGAACTAAAAAGTCTTTATTGGATTATCTGCAACACCCCCGGCAATGGGGTGGGAGTCAAGCGTACCAGAAAAGCGTGGGGGAAAGAAACAGGAGACACAAGTCCTCAGCCACGGAAACAAATACACAGTTACCTTTCCCCCCATAATCCCTTGGGGACAATGAACCCAAGATCAATTAAGATGCTGAAAGAACTGGGCTATCCCCTCTTCATTTCAGTGGTGCCAACAGATCGTTTTGGAGTTAAGTAGTTGCAACATGGAAATGTGCTCCCCACCATTGCTCTATAAGTAAACTCGGATGCTTGAGCTAGGAAGTTGCCAAATTGCAGGACTGCAGCACTGACCTTGCACCCCAGGAGCAGTGGGGGAAGGGAGAAAATCTCCTTCTTGTCTCGAGTGGGTGCTTCGTAAGAAAGGTGAGGCTGGCCTTTGCCTCTGTCACCTCCTCTGTCGCCTGTCCCCACTCCTGGGAGCCAGTGTGACTATCCTGTCCTTCCTCTCTCTCTGGAGCACTCTGGCCACTGACTGACCCATCTCTGAAACGACGCCATCTCTCTTTGATGCCATACATCTCAAATGGGTCCAGGACAGCAATCTGATTGCTCTGGCCCACACTGAAGATGGAGGAAGTGCTCACCTCTCCATCCCTCCCTGAGGAGTTTCCCTTTCCAAAAGAGCTTTCTGGGTCACCCAAATGATCTATACCCTCTTAATCACTTCTCTGAAAGGGCACTTCCCCCCCTCCCAGCGTTTCTGCAAACTCTACTTTTGAGCCCACGGAGTGCCCGCTGGGGAGGGTGGTTCCATCAAACGGAGGAGGTGAGGGAATCTTCCCGGGGCTGCCACCCCAAGTATTTAATAACCAGTGCAAACAAGCACCAGGGACTTGCCAGCTCCAAAAGCCCCTGGCCTTGACTCTCTCAGGCATTAACTAGATGGTGGGGGTCTCAAGGGAATGCCAGGTTGTGGTAGGGGACTTGGATTCTCAGGTGGAGCAGATATTTACCAATGAGCAAAAAAGTGTTTCTACATGTTATCACTTAGTGTGACAACACTGGTCCCACTGATGTCAGCCTAGTCTCTGGGTTCCGCTGGGAATGGTCGCTGGACCATTTGTTCCTCTGTTGGAGGAAAGTGGCCTGGGGCGCAGTTGGGGAACGAAATGGCTTCTGAGCAGCACCAGCTGCATGGAATCCTGGTGAACAGGATCTCGGGCCCTGAACCCACTGTGTGACCTTGAAGGGCTGAGCCGCCTGGAGTTGTCCTTCCTCTTGCCCCTCTGCATAGCTATTTTTGTCCAGCCTGACAGCCCCTGGCTGTTCCAGCAGTCTGGGCTCTGTGAGCTGGATGCAAACCAGGCAGCACAGACGTCTGGTGCCGAATCCCAAGAGGATTTCTCTCTGGACACCGCTGCATGAGCTGTGGCCCCTTCTAACTGTGCACCCAGAGGTGGAGTGCAGTGATGGCAAGGGGCAGGGGCTGGGTGCTCTGTTGCCCAACCCTAGCTTGATCTGTGAGAGCTGTCTGAGGCCTGGTGTGAGGACACTCTGTCACAGAGCTTTGCTTCTGCCTAGAAGCCTCCCAGACAGGCTTGTCAGGCTAACTGTCCACAGGGACCTGCCAGTCAGTTGTGGTGGTCGGGGAGTCTTCAGCTGAGAAGAGGGTGGGAGCAGGCCCCACTGTTGTGAGGAAGGAGTCTGTTCTGTGGTGCGGTGTGAGGCAGGGGCCAAAGATAGGTGGGCAGGGCAGACAGAATTCCCCAGGAGACCTCTTTGTGGTCCCTGCTCAATTACTATTTCCAGGAAGTGAGGCAGACACTGTTGCAGCCCCTCAGCCTGGGTAGGCAGCAGCCAATCCGTGATTGCTTCCGACTGGGGTCTGACCCCTCCACGGAAATGTCCTGCTTCAGGCCATTGCACCATTCGTTCCCAGACCCAAGATTCATGCCTACTGCCCCACGCATACAACTCCAAGACTCATCTGTGTAGGTGAGAGATGGGACCAAGCCTTAGATCAAAGCTTGTCCAGAAGAGTTGAGTGGATAAGTTGGGTGAACAGTGAGGAGGAGAGAAGGGCAGGAGGAGGAGAAGGGGGCTTCCAATGGCTGGTGAAGGTGCCTTCATCACATAAGCCAATCCATGAAGCAAAACAGAAAAAAGGTAGTGCCGTTTTCAGAGCTCCTGGAAAAAGAACCTTCTTCACTCCTGGGGGTAGGGGTAGAAGCCAGCTCAGAAAGCCCCGATTTCAGTGATTTCGGAGACCCAGGAGTGGTATAGCATGGCCCCTGCTGGCCTCCCAGCTGGCCCTGGGGAGGATGGGCTGGAGGTGGGAACAGCCACATAAGCAGCAGGTCTCACAGCACCAGGAGGAGTGGGGGAGGAAGACTGCAGGAGGGGAGTGATGTGGCTGCTCCTGGCAGCCCTGCTGCTGGGGGCCAAGGGCATGGGGGCAGCTGGCCTCTCTGGGGGGCGGGCCCTCCGGGTGGAAGATGCTCCTCTAGTGGGCAGCAAATTCCTCCGGGCTGGCAGGATGGTGCCAGCGGCTCTGCGAATGGGAGTGGATCGGAGGGCTGGGATGGGGTAAGCAGGAGAGGAAGCACCGGGAAGGACAGGGCCAGGCACTCTTCCCAGGATGGCAAGCTGGCTGCTTAGGGCTGGCAGCCCCGGGCAACTATGAAAGAAAGACCAGGGCCAAGCAGGGAAGGCCAAGGGGCCAGTGGGTGTGGGCGAAGGCTCCATCTCAGCTGCATAACTGTTGAGGTGGGAGAGAAGGCGAATCCGGACAGGGTCTGCACGGCTGCTGGGCCCTTCCAGGACACCCAGGTACCTGATGACCTCGGTGAGGCACTCCCGAAAACCAATGCTCCGGAAGTCAAGTGCCAGGGCTCGGGCATCAAAGAATCCTGCAAAGGGAGGCACGATGAGGGCCTGCCATGCACAGGCAGAGGCATGGAGCCCAGGGTCAGACTGTCTGACTTTAGGACCTGCATCTCCCACACAATCCCTGGGTGACCCTGGGAATGTCATCAAGCCTCTCTGATCCCCAGTGTCCCCATTCACAAAGTAGGACTAAAAATCCCTACCTGGGATGGAGGGCGGTGGGCCAAGAGGATCAAACGAGTTCACTAAATTATGAAGCATTATAAAATGTAAAGTATTGTTTCATCACAATTCATGATTAACACTTCGCGGCCGAAATAGCTTCAGTTAAGTAGACATTTGTCAGGCATGAAAAGGCCGTGCTCATGGAGGTGTAGAAGAATCCAGCCTGCCAACAGGGGTGGGGAGGTGGTGGCAGTAGCCATCAGAGATGGGTGGCCCTTGGAGGTGGCATAGTGTAGCAGTGAGATAGGAGGTCTTTGGAGGTCAGCCAAGCTGAGTTCAAAACCCCTCTGCCACTTAACTAGCTGCCTGACCATGGACAAGTCTCTTCCTCTCTCTATGCCTCCACTTCCTTACCTGTGAAATGGGGATATGATAATATCTGCTCCATAGAGTTGTGAGGGTGAAATGAAATATAACAGTGGGTAGAGAATGCTCAAAAATGAAGTTATCCATCACTTAAATTACTGGCTTGGTGCCTGTTAGCATCTGAGTTTGTCCCCCAGCTCAAAAGGCATCTGGAAAGCAAGACCCCATTCTGGTCCTCAGCTGCTAGCATCCAGTCAGGGCTCCTTCTCTTGGAAGGAACAGTGAAGTATTCATAAGGAATACTCCTGCAAGTATTCACTTCCTCACTGCCTCTCCGTCTGTTCCTCTCTCAGCCAACTTCTGGGCAAAGGCAGGCAGAACAGCTCTAGCCACCACTGGCCTCGTGACTATGGTGGCAGATATCTGGTCCTTGGTTCATGGCTGAGGCCCCCAGAGAGGAGAGCTGGGTGGGAGACTATGTTTGGAGTCAGGCCACCTTTCAGGTGAGACCTGGCTCTGCGGGATACTTAGCTGTGTGAGTTTGAGCAAATTCCTTCACTTTTCTGTGTTTGCTGTTCTTTTCTAACTAAATTTTGCTAAATTTTTACTAGGCACTTATTTGCATTGTCTAATTTAATGTTCATAGACCCTTTCATTATTCCCATATTGGAGATGAGGGAGCTGAGGAATGGAGAAGTTAAATCTTTTGCCCAAGGTCATGAAACTGGTGGGTAGCAGTGCCAGGATTCAAAGCCAAAGCCAGTACTGTAAACCATAGTTATGTCTTCCCAAAAATACTTAGAAAATGGGGATGACAACCACCCCATCTTCTGTGTTCTTGTGAGAATAGGTGAAAGCATTTTGAGAACTGTAAAATGCTGCCCACATATTAGGCACTATTTTATTTTAATTGGATAACCATAAATGTAATTTTTTTTTTCCTGGTGTCATAGCTCACAGCAACGTCAAACTCTTGGGCTCAAGAGATCCTCCTGGCTCAACTTCCCGAGTAGCTGAGACTATATGCACATGCCACAATGCCCAGCTAGTTTTTTTCTATTTTTAGTAGAGAAGGGGTCTCGCTCTTGCTTAGGCTGGTCTCAAACTTCTGGGCTCAAGCAATCCACCTGCCTCCGCCTCCCAGAGTGCTAGAATTACAGGCACAAGCCCTCTCACCCAGCCATAAATGTAATTTGAATCGCCCTCACTGGTTCATCAGAGAAAGAACTCTCCTTAGTTAGCAGTGCATTCCTTTGGTAGAAGTTCCCAAAGGGGCCACCAGCATCAGGGTTGCAGGATGGGCTTATTAAACTTGCAAACTCCTAAACTTCAATTCAGATCTACTGCCCCAGGATCTCAGGAGGGGGAGTGACCCATGATTCTGCCTGCACGCAGATGATACTGTTGCACACAGAGGCTTGAGAAGCATCAGGTTGGGCCACTTAAAATGCAATTGTCCTCTTCTGGAGTATCAAGTTAGGTCTTTGGGACTTAGGTCTTTGTGGCCAACGTCTGTGGAGCTTTCAAGGCTTCCCAACTGTGAAATCACTAAACACACAGAGAAGCTTTGTGTAGACAAAATTTCCATTTGTCTGGAAGTCTTTTTAAAGCCACAGTTCTATTATTTTATTGCAGTGCCCTAGCTGAGTGACATTTGCAACTACCATCCTGAGAGCTGCTGTGAGTGTGACTTATCACCCCAGCACTGCCAAGGATACAGCAACAGCCCAGAAGGCTAGACCAGGGGGTGGGGGTACCAGACCTCTCCCTAGGTTCAGGTGGGATCCAGTGAGAATCAGTTCATTCAGCGGAATTCTCAACAAGGCCAGGAGTAGGACCAGTGGGAACAGTCTGTTATAGAAGAAAGCCCCTCTGGGGTCTGAGACAGGAAGGAGGTGAGTGGAGGAAAGGGTTGGGATAGATAGAGACAGTGAATGTGGAGAGGAAGATGCTGGAAGAAGAGATGAGTTTTACACTGAGCCGGCTGGGTCTGCATTATCCCCTCCATAGACCCAGCCCTGTGAGGGCGAACACCATGCTTACTTTGCTCACCAGTGTACCCCCAGGGCCCAGCCTCAAAATATTTGTTCTATAAAAGACTCTTGAGAGAGAAGAGCATCGGTACCTGTCCCACCAGTGGCATGGAGCATTTTTAAGTGATCCACCGTCATCTGTAACACCTCAGCTTTCTCCAGCTTGGACGAGCCCTGTGGGTACAGAAGACAGAGTTGAGCCCTGCTGCTGGACCTTCTTGATATTCTCACCTTCCTCCCACTCCGCCATTGCCAGCAATCGGGCTTCTGCTCTGGCTAATGTCTCCAAATGTAGACCATCCTCTTCAATTCTCCTCTTGGTCCACCTGTCCACTGTATTGCTGCTGCTGATGCTTCCTGAAACCTCTCCTTTAATTTCCATGACACCACTTTTTCTGGGACCTCCTTCCACCCTGCCTCTTTCTCTCTGGTCCCTGAAGTTGGTGGTGTTCTCATTGGGCACTGGCTCCTTTCTCTTCTCATTTTGATGCTCTCCCCAGAGGACTTCGTCTACATCCAAAGCTGTCATTGTCACCAGAATACCATTCAATCTGCCTCTTCAACCAGCTCTCCTGAGAATCCAACTCCAGGCTCAACTAGCCAAGATCTAGTTCACTCAGCATTTCATCCCTAAGGCAGTTGCTCTTCCTCTGTTCTCTCTCTTGGGAAGTGTTTCCCAAGCCTCCAGGAGCACCTGCTCTTCCAGGCTCCTCACAGAGACCCTCGAGGGAAGACCCAGGTCTAGTTCATAGCTGGTCCTGTGAAGGTTTGAGTGAACATCTGCGGAATGACTGACTTGTTCTCACCAGTACAGGGAAAGGCAGGTGCCCGTGTCCTGTGCCTTGGCTCATAGGGTGAGAATCTTAGAGGCTATGTCTCTTTCAACTGTCTGATTCCCCACTGTGGTCCCCGCTCCCCAACATGTTCAATGTCAGAGTGCTCACTCCCTGAGTAGCCATTTGAGCCATTTTCAAATAGCTCTGGAAATGTCCGTAGTAGTGCAGAGGGAAAGGAGGCGTTAGAATCACACAGTCCTGGGCTTCAATTCCTTACCTGTGCAATGGGCATAATAATCCCTCCCCCTTAGGATCATTTTGAGGCGTTGATTCAGTGGAATGTTGGGACATAAAGCCACAACACCTGACACACTTCAAGTATGCATTTCCATTCCCTTTGTGCCCTGGTCAGTGACGGTAAATGATCACAGCACCACAGACAGCCACCACCCATCAGTAAGAGATGCCAGGAGAAACGAGCCTTCCTGCCACCCACACAGTATTTCCTCCAGCACAATCGGCAACGTCACATACCTGTTTCTCAAAGGCAGTGGGGACCAAGCGCCGCAATTCAGAAAGGCTGCTGTTGATACGGTCTCGGCGCCGTTTCTCTATGATCTAAAACACAATGACAAGAAGCTCCACGCAGGCACTTTACCACGGTTTCCAGTGTGCCTGCGTGGACATTGATTCATATTTCCCCTCTCACTATTTTTGTGAGGGAGATAAATCTATCTTACTTTATAGAGGCAAAAACCAAGGCTCAGAGAAGGACAGAGATTTGCTTAAGCTGAGATCACCCAGCAAGGGAGTGCAGACCCAGTACTAGAAAACAGTTCTCTTGCCTGTGGGAATGACACTCAAAATGCAAAACCATGGTACAGCAGGGCACAGCCAATCTGAACAGGGACACCAGCCATAGTGTCTAGTAGGCCCTGGAGGGCCCTGCTGGGCCAGGGTTGCCCCAACAGTTGCCAGGTGGGAAGGTCGCAGGAGTCCCCCATATTGCTCTTGAGCTGCAGAGCCTCGGTTTCCCGCTTCCTCAGTCTGCCCTCACAATACTGGTGGCAGAATACCAGGAACAGGGCAGAAGTCATGACCCCATTTTATGGAGAAAGAAAACAAGGGCTGGAAGGGAGCGGGTTGTTTAGAGGCTTATGGTGAATGAGAGCAGCTGGTCTCTGCCAGACCTGTGTCTGTGCCCCCAGTGTGGAAGCACAGCAGCACCCTGGAGGGTAAGTGGAGCTGGAGAAGATGGACAGCAGCCCCTTCCTCACTGGAGTCCCGGAGGAGACAGAAGGTAGAGGGAGGAGACGGGAACAAACAATAATAATGGCCTATTGCATGCCAGCTCTTATTCAGAGGTTACACTAATTCACTTAATCTTCAAAACAGCCTTTTAAGGGAGGCACTGTTATTATTCTAGTTACACAGATGAGGAAATGAGGCCCAGAGAGGTTAAAGGGCTTGCCCAAAGTCACCCTGGTAGCTACTGGCAGAGTCAGGATTTGAATTCAGACAGTTAACTTCGGGGTGAAATTTCTGACCAAGGTTCTCCTGGCCAGGGGGATCCAGGGCAACCGTTTGTCCGGCAGCTCAAAGGCTGAGGTGGGCACTCACCCCTCTGCGTTTCTTCCTGGCTTGCATCTGCGAAGGGCTGGGAGTGGACAGTGGCCTGGCCATCTGGCTGGAGAGAAAGAGAAAGGCTGGTTTTTCAGAGCCCGCGGACCATCTTCCTGGCCTAGGCTGACCTCAGAGGCTGGGAAGAGCCGCAGGGAGGTTGTGGGAGGGGGCAACAGCTCTCCCGGGTCCCCGGGGGCTCATTTCTCTCCCACCCAAGCCTTCCCAAGCCCCATGAGCGGCCGCAGGGGTCTGGGCTCTTGGCCCCGACTGGCTCAGCCTCACCCCTCGGCCCTCGCGGCGGCCGTCGGGGAACCGGGAACCGCGAACCTCGGCGTGGCCGCTCCGGCTCCTGCAACCCGATCCCGGGGGCGGGGCGGGCGAGGGCACCGGCCGGCGGCGGCGGGGCCGGGCTGGGCGGGTTGGGTTTCAGAAGGAGCCGCTGGGAACGAGCGTGGAAAGAGCAGATGCCGCCGCTTCCCACGGGCCGGGTGCGCCGGCCGCCCGCCCTCGGCCGGCCTGCAGCTGCCGCCTCCTCCCACGCGGCGCGGCCCGGGGCGAGGGGGAGGCGGCATCTGGGTCACAGGCCCCTCTCAGATGCTCGGGGACACTGCCCTGGCCTCCCAGAAGGCCTCGTCCCCCCAAACCTCGGCCTCCCCTCCCATCCTGGGCCTTCTTCCCTCTGCAGCCACTGCTGAAAGATGGATGTTTGCTCGCACCCCAGGAGCTCCCATTACAGAGAAGAGGCTCAGCCCCAGGGCTTTTCCTGTCCAGACTTTGACAAAAATAATCTCCAGCCTAACTGCCGACCCTCCTAAGGCTTTCTGTCCCAGAAGCCTAGGATTTGCTGAGACCCACTGAGATGTCATTCACTTGGCCAACACACTGGACCTATGTGGGCCCAGGGTGAGTGCTGGGTGCCCTTAGCGGGTCCCAGCCCTCCAGACACTCACTTCAACCTGCCATACATCTGAAAAGGAACCCGTGAGCTAGGCTCACCCCACACCTGCTCCTCCCATCATTTCCTCATTCCAGGGAAGACACCCCATCTTCCAGGCCTGCAAAGTGGAAACCTGATGCGGTCTTAGATTCCTCCTCCTCACTCCCACCTCATCAAAACCTGCCCAATTCCATGCGTTCTCCTCTACATCTCCACCAGCCCTCGGTGCTCAGCCACTGTCCCTGTTCACCTGGATGACTGCAAAAGCCTCTTGTCAGGTCCCTTTGCAACCTCTTTACACCTTACAAGCCTGTCTTCACATTGCAGGCAGAATGGTCATTTAAATGCAAATTTCCTCTTGTAAAACTCCTCAGTGGCTCCCCAATACTTTTATTTTATTTTATTTTTATTTATTTATTTATTTATTTATTTTTGTAGAGACAGTCTTACTATGTCGCCCTCGGTAGAGTGCCATAGCATCACAGCTCACAGCAGCCTCCAACTCCTGGGCTTAGGTGATTCTCTTGCCTCAGCCTCCCAAGTAGCTGAGACTATAGGTGCCCGTCACAATGCCCGGCTGGTTTTCTGTTGTTGTTGTTGTTGTTGTTGTTGTTGCAGTTTGGCTGGGGCCAGGTTTGAACCTGCCACCCTCGGTATATGGGACCGGTGCCCTACGGGCTGAGCCACAGGTGCCGCCCCCCGATACTTTTAGATTCAAGGCCACCATCCTTCAAGTGCTCAGTTGGTCTGTGTCACCTTCCAGACTCAACTCTCTTGCTCTGTATACTCCAGCCTATGAATGCACTAACTCCTTCCCACTATTGCATACACTGTCCCCTAGCCTAGAATTCTCTGGTCCACCCCATCTCGCTACCCCAGGCCCCAGTCCCTTTGCCCAGTAACTCCGAGCATCCTCCAGATCTCAACTCAAATGTCATCTCCCTGGGGGACTTATTCTGACATCCCTCCTCCCTCTGCTTGAGACTTTCCCAGCATCCTGAATTCACAGTATTTATGCCAGTTTATTGAGTTTTTGTTTTTTTGAGACAGAGTCTTACTATGTCACCCTCAGTAGAGTGCTGCAGCATCATAGCTCACAGCAACCTCAAACTTGTGGGGTCAAGCTATTTTCTTGCCTCAGCCTCCCAAGTAGCTGGGACTACAGGCACCTGCCACAACACCTGGCTATTTTTTGTTTTTAGCAGGCCCATCAGCCCTGCTGCATGTGGCCAGCACCCTGACCACTGAACTATGGGCACCAAGCCCTATGCCAGCTCATTATTTTACATTTATATGGTTATTTGACTGATGTCTATCTCCAACAAATCCATAAGCTCCATGAAGCTGTGAACCACATCTGTCTCATGCACTACAGTAACCCTGGTACTCAGCAAGTGCTTAGAAGTTGGCAGAACTCCTGAGAGAGCTTCCTTCTCCTGTCCTTGTCTTTGGCATCATTAGGGAACAGAGAGGTAAGCACCATAAAATCTCCATCATAGGCCTTTGTGGAGTGGGGGTATATGTAGCTTACCAGAAGTGTCCCAACCCATGTGACTACTCTTGGCATTTGAGGTGGGATCGTTTTTTATCAACTGCTCAAAGAGAGAAGTTTGCAAAATAGACCAGACAGCATTTTTCAAATCCTACTGTTCTATCCCTGGCTTTGGCCAGCCACATCTGGAAAAGGCTATCTCTTACCCAAATATCTGGACAAGCAAAACTAATAAAAAAGCCTGTAACAGCTTCTGGGAGGAAGGGACCAGCAAGGTAGGTCCAGGGCTCAGATGGCCAGATCCTGAGATCTGTAGGGCAGCTTGTTTACAAAGCTTCCCTGGTTCACTGGGGACAAGCCCCAAGAGCCAAGGTACACTAAGAAACCCGGCCTTTGTTCCCCCCAGCTGGATAAAACAACTCTTGGGGTATTGGGTTAGCCTTGCACACGTCACTGCCTCTGGGCCTGATCCCTCCTCTGGGACCATTTGTTGAAGGCTGACGCACCCATTTCAGGGTAAGGCAGCTCTGCCCTCCCTTTTTTCCAGTCTTAAGTCAATTTTTCTCTGCTATATTATCCCTCCTCCCCTATATCTCACAGGCAAACTTTGCTTTGCAGTTTTCTTGGCACCACTGTGTATATTTCCCTCCATTGAGCCTTACAAAAGCCCCATTTGACAGATGAGGATGCTGAGCCTCAGGGAGCTAAAGCAGCTTACCCAGCCCACACAGCTGCTAAGGAGCAAAGCCAGCAGGGAATCCATGTCTTCTGGCTCCACATTCAGCATTGTTTCCCTTATAATTCCTACTTCCTGTCTGTCTGAATAGCCCTCCAGTCCCCTTATCCTTAAAGCTCCCAAGAGCCCAGTCAGAGTTCACTTCTAGCCTGTGATCTGGCCCTGACAGTGGGAGGAGGTGTGGGAGCTTCTCATCTGGGAGTCTAACTATAAGGCAGATTTTCATGGACCCAGAAAAGATATGTTGACCATCAACATCAAAATCTGCTCCATGGGCCTTTAGTGGCTCCTAGCCAGAATACCAGGGTGGTCAGGGTGGGGGGCTTTTGAGGTGGTCCTGACCACCCTTAGTGCTGACTCTCCCTGGAGACTCCCTCATGGAACTCTTGCAGTTGACCCCACTCATTTTGCATCAACCAAAGTCAGAATCACAATGTCCCAAATGATGATGGGATCTCAGAGAGTACTGAGCACATACATTTGTAGAAGGAGGAAACTCAGAAAGGGGGAGGGATCTTTCCCAGGCCACACAGCAAATCGGAGTAAAATCCACAGCTAGCGCCAGGTCTACTGGCTCTTAAACCCAGTGCTCTGGCCAGTGCACACTACACGGTCATCATCCCATCATGTACATTTCAGAGCCAGTACTTTTTGTTCTAGAAAGCACTTCCACATCCATTTGTCTCATTTATTGCACAACAGCCCTGTGAGTTAAGTATTATTTGGGTCATTTCGCATTTAGGAAAAATAATCCTTAGATAGGTGGGATGACAGAGACACAAAGAGTTAAGAATCATGCCAGTAAGTCCAATCTTCAGGTTTCCAGTCCCTTGATTAGAACATGCTGTCTTGTGAATACGGTGCCCTCAAATGAATGGAAACTCCTTTAACAACAGCATTTATTGGAAATTGCCTTGTGCCCAAACAGGGGACTATGTGCTTTATGTGCATTACTTCATCAAAGCCTCATCCGGTAAGGCAGGTATTAGCATCTTCATTTTGAAAGACAGAAAGCTGAGGCTCAGAAAGGGGTAAAGTCACTCACCTAAGTTAACGGTGGTGAAGTACAAACTCAGGTTTATCTGACTTCAAAGGCTACCATGTGTCTTGAATCACGTGGAAATGATCCACAGACCCTGATTCAGTGTATGACACGTGACAGGTGCTCCTTAAATATTTACAGTGGGGGGAGGGGAGGCTGTATTCTCAGGGACCCAGTTCCATGGGAGCTCTGTTCAGGGACCCAGTTTGATGGGAGCTCTGTTTAGATGTGGCAGTAAACTCCCACAGGGCAGATGCCCAGTGACAGTCAAATGCACCTTCCTCTTATGTCTCTGTGTGTGGGAGGGGATTTGTGCCCTGCCTCTGACCTTAGGAGACTGGCTGCCCTGGTCCTGTGGCCTTGTCACTGTTTGTCTGGTTTTCTTTGTACATGAAGCTCTTCTTCCCTGAGAGTTCCCTGAGGGCAGAGGCTGAGCAGGATACATCTGGGCCCCCTACACGGGCCCAGGGTCTGGGCCACAGCAGGCATCGTTCAGCGCTCCCTGAATTGAGGCATTGATGTCTGCTGGGGGGAGGGCCCTTTGGTGAGTGCTACAAAGAAGCATCTATAAGTCAGCCTCTGCCAGATGTCCAACTGCTTTCTCTCCTCAGAGGGGGCTGCTCTTCTAAGAACAGTCCTGAAAATGGGCTCTGTACATAAGTACTGTATTTATAGGGAAAGCTGCCCCTGGACCCTTTCTGCCTCCATCTGAGCAGCTGCCCAGATGCCACTACCTTTGAGAAGCTCTCCATGCCATCTTTGGTGTTGAGTGACCTTTCTCCGTTTAGATGCCCTCACAGCCCACTGTCTGTCTGTCTTTCCATATTGTCCATTGTATAACCTGGCACGTCACTGACCAGGCCACAGTATTGTGAAGGACAGAAGCCTGCTCTGATCAGTTTAGCTCTCTGGCATTCATTTTATGTCCCTGATCAATGAGGACCCAATAGCACTAAATTTGAGACCCCTCTCCACCACCATTTACATCGTGCTGGGTTCTTCCCATGCCCCTAGCAGGCACAGGCTCAAAGAATCGCTTCTCCTAACAGTGTTTTCTGCTAAACAATTAAGAAAGGCTAATATGCTGCCCAGAAAATTGTATTATATGCCTCAAAACCTGTTATGCAGAATGCAAGAGGGGTATCTATTGCCCTATGACTATTATAAGCTGTAAATAATTGGCAGTTGGTGGTATTTTACTGGGATTTGTGATTGAGACAGGATCCCTGGTCTCAGAAAGCTGGAAAGCATTGAAATTATGAAATGCCCTCAAAAACATCCCAAAGAAGTAACCAAATTCCCCTTCAATTCTATTCTAGAGAGTCAGACTTGGACGAGCCAAGAGAGATGAAATTACCCTCTTCCACTCTTATCCTCCTTTATTTTACCTCAGCCACATGGTGAGTTGATTGCAGATTTGGGGCTGGGACCCAAACCTGCAGACTCCCAGTCAGTCCCTGCAGCTCTTCCAGGGTGCCCAACACTAAGCACCGTATGTACATTATCTCCTCAGATTTTCCCAATACTCCTGTGAAATTGGTTCTATTATTTATGCCCATTCTACAGACAAAAAAAAAAAAAAAAAA